CTCTTGTTTTTTTTGCTGTCCCAGCTGCCACTGTTGCAGGTTTTCTTGTCACTGCTGTTGCCTCTCTTCTTGTTTCTTTTCTTTTTCCTCCAAAAACTGCTGTAATCTCTCTTCTTGTTTATTTTCTTGTTCTTTTTGTTTCTTTTCTTTTTCCTTCCACAACTGCTGTAATCTCTCTTGTTTATTTTGCTGTTCCAGCTGCCACTGTTGCAGGTTTTCTTGTCACTGCTGTTGCCTCTCTTCTTGTTTCTTTCTTTTTCCTCCAACAACTGCTGTAATCTCTCTTGTTTATTTTGCTGTTCCAGCTGCCACTGTTGCAGGTTTTCTTGCCACTGCTGTTGCCTCTCTTCTTGTTTCTTTTCTTTTTCCTCCAAAAACTGCTGTAATCTCTCTTCTTGTTTATTTTCTCGTTCTTCTTGTTTCTTTTGGTGTTCTTGTATTGCTGCCATCAAATCAGCTAAACTGTAGTTTGATTTGCCGCCTCTCGTTTCCATCTTCTTATCATCTTATTTTTTATTTCTTTCCCACTTCTGACACCAATTTGTTACGTCTCTGGTCGTTTGTTAATTTTCAATAGAAATCTTTCTGAAGAAACTTCTGTGATACAAGTCCTTTCTTAAATAAAACTAGTTTATTCTTTCTCAGTTCAACTTTGCAATACAGTTAATTTCCACAGTCACTTTAAACACACGCTATAATTCACAATGATTCACGCACTTGACTGAATTGTCCGTCTTTATCTCTGCCTGTCTGCAATTCAATTCCGATTAATTTGTCTCAAGTTATCTGGTGCACTTATTCACAGGAATAGAGGGCGCCTAGCATATACTGGATTATTCGTGATGTTCCCCAATCCTTCTAGAATATCATGACGTGTTACCAGCGTCACGTGACTACCGTTGTCGTAACATAACTAAAGCCTTTTATTTTGACAACTGGTGAAGATTAGATTTTTATATTCTGACACAGTTGTTGAAACTGTTTGTTACGAATTTCGCGCAAAGCTACATGAGGACTATCTGAGCTAGCCATCCCTAATTTAGCAGTGTAAGATTAGAGGGAAGGCAGCTAGTCATCACCACCCACCCAACTCTTGGGCTACTCTTTTTACCAACGAATAGTGGGATTGACCATCAAATTATAACACCCCCACGGCTGAATGGGCGAGCATGTTTGGTGTGACGGGGATTCGAACCCGCGACCCGCAGGTTGCGAGTCGAGCTCCCTAACCACCTGGCCATGCCGGGCCTGTTGAAACTGATTTACGAATGAAAGGTGAGAAATACCTCCAAAATGAAGAAAATGATGGATTGATACAAACAGCAAGTGGACATAAAATTCCAGCAAGAAAAACATTGGAAGTACTGTAACTGTAGGAAGTTTCTCTACATCTCAGGATGTGTGGGTAATAGACATTAAAGGAAATTCCATATTGGGAACTGACTTCATGTCGAGATATAGATATGAGGTTAGGCTAGCTTCACAGCCTATGACCAGAAAATCCCTGTGCACTACATGTCAATTACAATCATCACAAGTTGAATTTCAAGTGACAATAAGAAAGGCAATCATTGTTCCATCAAGAAGCGAAATACTCATGCTAGAACTTCTTATGAATAAATCTATATCTAGTGACAGGGATGTAGTAGAACCAAACTCTTCCCGCATGTCCTGGGGATTACTGATTGGAAGAACTCTCGGGGATATGAAGAATAAAGATGTCGTCATTAGGAATTAGATCTATGAAAAAATATATACCATAAAATGCGAGTCACGTCTGTATTGGAATTACAATAGAACATCAGAAGTAGTCACCTATAAAGCAATATATAGGAAATATGATGCCAACTCCTTACACAATAACAGCTTACTAATTCACTTATAGGAACTATATGACCAGAGCTGTGAATGTCTTACAGGTGACCAATACAACAGATTACATAACTTTCTCAAGGAATACCTTCTCCAGTAGACTTCACGACTTAGGCCTAACAAACAACACATCTCTCAGGATTAATATTGGAGATACAGCTCAAATACATCAATTAGCCAGATAACTCCCATTTCCGAAAAAAAAAAAAAAGCTGAGGCTTTCAGAGAAACAGAAGCCATAAAGGAACAGAGAATATCAGAACTGAGTGTGAATCCCCGACTTTACTTTGAATGCTGTATTTGAATTAATATGATTTTCAACACTGAATCTGAAGAGTGGATATTGGCAAGTGGAAGTCGACGAAGCAAGTAGAGAGAAAACAACCTTTGCTGCAGGAAATAGATTATGGCAATTTATATTACTAGTGGGATGATGTAATGTTCCTGTTGCATTTCAATAATTAATGGAGTTTTGCTCTCTAAACTACCCTGGAATGTTGTACTAATCTAGTCGGATGATGTAATCACACATGGGAAAACCTTTAATAATTCTTATGATGAGATAAAAAAGTTCTGGATTGGTTAAGGAAAGAAAACTTTAAGATGAATTATAAGAAGTGTAAAATGTCCGGTCAAGAAGTGAATTTCTTGAGATATATAGTGCATAGAGGAAGTGTCTGCA